GATGAAATTAATAAGACGTAAACGAAGAGTGCACAAAAATGGAAACTATCAACAAAAAACTTAACTATTCCTTTGCTAACGCCATATTCAGTGGTAAATATTATTGCATGACACTTTAACGCACCGATGCAAGGCAGTTCCAACGTATATTAAATATACCTACCCTAACTTGGGTCTGAGTTTTCTTTTGGGACCAAAAAGACCGTTGAGTTTTTACAAGTGAGTTAATTGTATTATTTAAATCTGCCAAAAATTACCTCCCTGGTAGTCATGTGGTCGGTTCTAGATTGACTGCTCAGGAAATCCTGCTTGGGCACTCAGCTTACTGTATCAGTGTAGGTGGATTCCATACGTCTCAAAAAACTGAGTGTGTAAATTGACCCAAGTGTGAGTCAACTCATGACTCCCGATGGGGGTCTCGCAGTTCGGATTCAGGTAGGCGTAGCCTCATTTAGCATTTACCCACTGGAGTAATTATTTTGGCATCTGCTGGCCTTGATATTTTTTTACTCAAATGAGCATTGGCTTAGAGGCTAATTTTCTCCTAATATATTTGACTGCAGAGATCTCATTCAGTATCAGTAAGATGAAGAACAGACTATGTATAATGTGCATTGTTTTGAAGCAAGGTTAGAGAGATTTGTTGCTATACATTCAAAGTTTGCGTTCTAAATAATCTTTTGGCATAGTTATGAAGAGTAACGTGACTCTTAACTTAACTGTCAGAATTAAAAAAAGGTGATCTTTGAACCAAACAGCTAACTAGTAAAGGCCCCATGACGAACATATTCGAACACCGGAAAAAAACTGCGCCCAAATTTAGATAGAACGCCGAAGCTGCAAGGGATAATAGGCATTCTATAATCTCAATAATTCCAAGAACTTCATAATCGGTGGTAACGGGGTGGCATCAGCTGCCTCGTAGAGAAACTGGTGAAGTAATCAGCAGCGTAGTTCAAAACATCATCCGGTTTGTCTATAAGGACACACTGCAGGAAATCCTTCACCATGTCAACGAATTCGGGATGATCGTGGAAGTATAGGTGATATTCGCTCTTGAGTTCGTCCTTTAAAAAAGATGGCAAAGGATATATGAGGATAGCCGGCCAGCCCAGGTGTTGAAAAATGTACATATTGAAATATATGTTTAAATTTGCAAATAGGTCACAGTTATTCTTGGTTTTCACCCACATCGAAGCCGAAGAGTAAACTTAAGTGATGTAGTGGTCACGTGCGTCCGACGCCCTCCTAACTCTTGACGCCACAGACGAAGTCACTCAGAGCATAGGACCCCGCGCGAAAGCTGTGCTCCGGCGTGCATCGGGCCTATGCGTAAAAGGACGCGCGCCCAGGCTAGACAGCATTTTTTCCCATCTCAAGGTTGCGCCACGACCTCTAGTCTAGACATCAGCCGCGTGATTGGCCACCGTAACAAAGCATGCGCCGACATTGCGGCGATTCCTGAGGCTCTCGTCACTGCGGAATTGACGCCCTGGCAGCCGGACTGCAGTCACCCGAGAGTCAAAACTCTTTCCATCGATTTTCCTATCCTTCTACAGAATACACTATTCCTAACAATCTGGCTTTCCCACCGTCTTCTCTCCCAACCTAAAGGAACCTTGTGCCTGGAAGATCGTAGATGTTAGGGTTAACCTTCTTAGCCTTAGAATTTGTCGATAATGACTTCAGATTAAAAGTTGAACTAAATAAGTGACCAGCTTTCGGAAAGAAAATTTATAAGATTTTCGTTAAACTGAAAAGTATATTATAGCAGTTAATTGTACGCAGATCTAATTTTTTAGGATGTACCCATCCTGCTTGATACCTCGCGAGCTCGGACCAACCGAGTGTGTTTTTGCAAGGCTACTAATTGTTATGTTACTAATAAAGTTTCAGTAACATATTTTATGCTACGTATTATCGACAAGACATAGGACCCTAGAATGGCTATTTCTGGCTCAGTTGCCGTCGTCAGCTCGGTGCACAATGAACAACTACATACTCCCGAACTAAAACCAACAAGGCGGCAGACTCGTACGTCAATGGTTAGAGCCTTTGCTTCTGACCGGAGAGACGCGGGTTCGAAACTCGACTGTGGCAGCAATTTCAGCTGCAACACTGGCATTGGGTATCCCTAGCTGACGAAGACAAATGAGCCAGAAATGGCCATTCTAGGGTCCTGTGTCTTGTCGATAATGCATAACATGAAACGTATATAGCTAATGTTTGTACCAAAAGTATCGTTTATCTTTTCTTCAGAAAACTGTGAAAATTCCCGAATTCTTCATATTCTTGACATAGAAACTTTCTAATTAAATAGAATCCTTCCTGTTCTACGAACTTTCTCTGCGATTTGTAGTCAACAACAGGCTTGCAGCTACGATTACCTCCTTGTCCACATCCACAGTTTGTTTTCGTGACTTATAGATAGTGTACCGTCTCGCACAGTTCAGTTCCAGTAAAATGTCGAATAAACGACGATACCCCTGTCTCAAATGATTTAATACAAATATTACGTCATTTAATATGGGTAAGTTGACCTTTCACGCCAATAATTGGCAGAGAAGCGTCATTTTTCCATGTTCCAATGCAAACAGCGTATACCTCTCATTCTGTAAGGCTTAGTAAATTAGCCCAAATATGCTGCACTAAACGCGAAGCAGGTTAAAAGCAAGGTCATTCGTGAATGCAGGTAGACTAATCTGACCCGGACTCTAAATTTTCGCATAAGCAACACCCTCCTTTAACAGTACGCACAGCTTACATTTGGGCTTTGTCAATTAACTGCCTCGGGGTGCATACTCTTAAACTCCAACAATCCTTACGCATAAGTCGTGTCACCTAAGTCGCATTATAAGATACCCACCAGAAAGTCGGCGCATTATCCTCTGCGTGGCCTTCCAACGGTTTCATACCCTTTCTGTTCCTAACTAAATGCCACCACTTTCCTTTTGCGCAGGGTAATCTTCATAATTTCTTCTTGCCTCAATGCAGCTTACTTTTTGACTTAACGTCGCATAGTTTGCCTGCTGTCTTATCGCTACCATAAAAACATAGCAAATCCTATGTCCTATGGAGAAGTCCTTTCGTAGCTCGTGAATCAGTGCAACCCAACGTCTGATGCACTCAAATTCTTCGTTGGCTAGAAAAGCTAAGTCGGTACTTTCTTAGTACGTCGATCTAGGATAAAACATAAATCAAAGGGTACACATAATTCTTTAAGATCTGTGGTTTAAGTAGTCCAATCCTAACGTCCGTTTGAAGTTAATGAAGCCAAGTTAATGAAACCACCAATTTCTTTTGATGTTTTGTTAAGTATACCTACATTGTGCTAATTCTAGTTTATATGTAACATGCGGCTTTATACTAGGCATCTTAAGGAGCACCTAAAAACGGCTTATGTGTCCTTTTTCTGCCTAATTCGTTTTGACACACCACAACAACCGACACGCACTTCGACGAATGTTAGATGTCCAGTTTTTCATGCAATCCTCTCGAGCTCTTTGAGATTTTAGTAAAAGGCAACCACTTTGAGGGCTTAGAATTTATTGATAAATGCGCAGTGCTCGCGTATTATTTTTCTTTTGTTTGGGTGATTTTTAATTATATCTAAATATAGCGTACTATTATTGATACGCGATCATTGGATTTGTCGGAAAATTCAAGCCAGACCAAAGGCACTCAAAATGCTTCACATTGGGCGGATATTCTTACATGTTTTCCATAATAGACAGGACGGTCTTCAGAAGTCCTTTTTGCCTTTGACTTATAACTTTAACCTACTTTTACATTTTCAGCAACCCGACGTTCCCTTTTTCGTTAAATTCCGCCAATATAAGGTTGAATTTCCCTCACTTGGTATCAGTATCCTGAGCAACAGGAATCTATGTTGATAGATTTTATTCTATTTATTACATTGAAACAAAAATAAATTCCTTTAGTTTAATAGTTTTGATTACTTCCACCACAATTAAATATTCCTTTACATTGAATAACCAAGAATTAAATGTTTGACCACAAAATACGTAAGAAAATTGGACGGGGGAGAATATATGTTCTGATGGTCCTACAAGACAGTTTTGTTCCATAATATAACTAAAACGGCACTGTAATTATAAAAATGATTTATATGACGAATGCTCAAACATACTGAGCATACTCTACTTTTACGAAAAATGTGAGACAGTAGGACTGGTTAGAGTATTTTTTTACACTGCAGACAAAAAAAATTGTGTTCTTTTAATACAGAGATGTTAATCCCAATATCGAGAAAGTTTCCTTCAAAATAAAAAAGCTAAGAGCTTGAAGATGCGTTAAGTTTGAAGCAAATTAAAGTCATATCTACGTGATCGATTTCGAACGTTCACATACGTTGGCCGAGGTATTCACATCCACAATCGTGTCTTGTATGGAAGATTAATTTTTCGAGTGAATCATGCATGTTCAGCACTTGCCTTCTGCTGGAACATCTCAATTAGACGTTTATTCCAGTGCTTCACCGTTCTAAGTGAAACTATTTATGGCTTTTACGCTCTAATCCCTCTCTACCTCTTTATGCATCAAAGTTGTGTCCCTTTGATTTTTATTGTTTTGAGCGTTAGTGTTTACTTCTGGAAATGCTGATTCACACATGCACCGGATAATAATTAGCACTCATATCTCAGAGATGTTGCTTTATTGGTGAAGATGGCCTGTTCGCAAATCAGGTTTTAGTCAGCATGGCCAGTGCATAGGCGATCCCGCGCCCTCTTTCCGATTAGCTTATTATCATATAGCATGACAATACTAAAACGCTTGCAGAGAAGGCCGTGTGCAATGGCGGACTTAGCATAGCCCCATCCATTTGTGCTACAACTCGGTTGATCCCTCCCCTTATTGGCTGACTCCGGCTAAATACGCAAGTTTACTAGGTGGAGTGAGAATAGGAACAAACCTCAATTGGTTCCACATTCTAGTCGAAGTTATCATCCGAGTGTAACTTCTAGGCCGAGAATGGCTTTATTAAACCCCGAGAGGTAACTGCCTTCACAATAGGGAAAATGCAAAATAATCGGCATTTGAAAGAATTCTCTCGCCACGACTAACAATAAAAAAGCGAAACCCTTTGCGCGCTAGATCACGAGTTTTAGTGGTAATAACGACCATAAGATTTT